TAATGTAAAACTAAAGAGGTTTGGTTGGCGACATGTAGCGAATTCCATTTACTAGGCGTCATTAAACCTCGCAGAAACACCGAAGTATCGTCTCATTTTTTATTATTCATCATACAAACATAACTACACGTATGGCGTAGAGGTTTAAGCGGTCTCCTCGCCGCTTCCTACTACGCTGAGTGTTGTGGGTTCGATTCCCACATGGGAAAACACTTTGTGTAATCCAAAAATTGTTGTTCTGTGGCTGGGTGTCCTTTGTATCCATTTCATGTATGTTTGTAAAGCCGACCGCGACACAGGATTTATTCATAGTGCGGGAGATGTCTTTAAAAATAACATGAAGTAATGTTTAGAATATCTTGAATATATAGGAAATGAAACGAAATGAACCATATACATATACAGCGAGTATAAATATATATAAATCAAGAAATAAATAAATAATATACGTACAAAATTTAAATAAATTAAAAAAATTACAATATCATACAGAACTTAACTATTTATTTGTTTCCATTGTTAATGACAAATTAGAATTGTTTGAATAAATTATAATATACTTTAAATATAAGACATAATAACAAGCTTAATCGGTTTTTTGGTCTTTTAAAATAAAAAAAAACGAAATATATTGTTATTTCGTTTTTTATTTTATTTTAAAATACCAAAAAAGCTGTAACATGTTATAATACTTGCTCCACTTAGAAATGATGTTATCATAAAACATTTTAGAGTTGTTTGAAATTTAAATTAAAATATAAATAAAATAAAATGATATATAAAAACCGACAAGTTAAGTGAGAGTGCAATAAGGCATAGACTCTAAAAAATAACAACAAGACTTATCGGGCTGTTTTCGGTTGTCTCTAACAGAACGAAAATAGAATGCAAGGCAAAAAAAAAATACAATAGAATGAGTTAAAAGATAAGAGTACTCCTTGGATCTTAGACGAGCGATTGTAGGAAAACTTTAAAGAATATTATTAACTACTATAGTTTGATTTACTGCTAATAATATTGTGAGTAAATTAAAGTAAGCTGAGCAACTCGTGTGTGCTTAATTTTATTATAAAATAAACAAGCACTTAATGCGATGTCTCATGTCATATAGATTCTTTAACAGATTTGGGTCGTGTGTTTACAATTTTGACTCAAGAAATCGCACATGTAAAGGGAATTATGGTAGGATTTTACATATTTTCAATTAAAAGGACCCTCGTCTCATTTCTTTTTATTAATAAATTTTCTAAGGGGTATATTTTAATGTACAGCCAGTCGTTCTAATAAAATATAAAACAAACCCAATCAATTGATTATGTTTATTTTATAATACAAAGGGGCATTAAAAATTAATAACCATCAGACACCATGACATGCAATAAAGATTTTATTATTATTATAAAGCCAAAGAATTTTCTGGCAGAGTAGATTGTGATAAAATATTTAATAAAGGTAACAAAAAAATAATGGATCAAAAATATTATTTGACTTCATATGATTTTTAATTACTAATCTGTTCGATAAATATATCATTTTTGTCATAGTCAAACATTGAACAAACAAGACCTAAAATGTAAAGCAGAAATTTTGAGATATAAACAATAAATTACCACATAGTATAGCAGTATACAAATAACTAATAAACTAATTTGTGTATTTAACACTCATATTGATTTTTTCTTATACCGATAGGTAAATCTTAAAAGAGGCTTGATAGGTAAATGTTGAATACCGACTTATTTAAAGAAAAAAATATTAATTTTTAGGCGTTAAGCAATTGGATTTATATAATTCGAAGTATTCGTCATAATATAGTATGAGCTTAATAAATTAATTAAATGATGAATATAGTATACGCTACTGATACCTATATGAATATACCGATGGAAATATATGTACAGGACTTCATAATTCTATATCTTTGCAACGAGTTGTTTTACGTGTAAGATAGACACTAACATAGATCATTATTCAATAAAAAAGAACATGAAACCTTCTACAAAAAGAAAGTTTATTGTGTACAATTCAACTTTGACTGTATAAAGTTTTATATCTGGGGATTATTATGAAAATGGCAACCTGTAATTCACTGATATTAAATCTTAATTTTCGTTACCTCCTGTGGATGTAATCTTGTGGAGGTTAAAATTAAAACAAAGTGTATAATTTGACTTTACTGAAATTTGCTTCCCTCGACAGATCAGTTGTTTCCCGCGGCTTTACTTGTTTTATATCTGCAAAACATATCCTTCGCTTCTCAGACATCATGGGTGATGTTTGTTTAGATGATGCATTTTACTAGCATATTGTTTATATAGTACTAGCTGTCCCGGCAAACGTTGTTTTGCCATATATATTATTGTTTTATGTATTTTTCAATTCTAAATCATAATCAATTTTTTTTTGTCAAAAATGAATCGATGTTGGCCCATTCCCAGACCTACCGGATATGCACACAAAATTTCATTAAAATCGGTCCGGCCGTTTCGCAGGAGATGGTAACAAATACCGCTACAGGAGAATTTTACATATTAGATAAAATGAAGTCGCTTTTTTGTATTGTACGCTTAGATCTGTTAAACTAAGCAAGGATTTCCATAAGATTTCAAGAGAAAGTTTTATATGTCTAATACATGCATATTATAGTAAAGAAAATCCGAGAATTTCAAAGAATTGTTGCAAAAAAAACATGTTTTTGTGCGCTTACATTGTCAACGCTGGCTAAACCTTACGAGTTGGACCAAAATGTACTACGGAATTATATACTTAAAAAGATTTACAAAAGATCCGCTATGGTATATGTCTATCTCCTAAGGATAGCTCATAGTAATTTTTTTTATCTTTTAAATAAAAAATAAAAAGAGTTATTTACGAAGCCATTTTAAACAATTCATTATAATTCCTTATCCAATTAAAACCGTTAGATACGTTGTGCACTTAATGTAGATTAAAATTGCTCTTCACAGCATATCATGAAAATGAATATTTTAGATGATATTATAGGTTTAAAATGCCCAACGATCGTCGAGCGGTACGTCCGTCCCGGATGGCTGCGGCCGGCAGGATCGGAGCGGGCCTATAAATATTGCATTTAAAGACGCCCTGTAATATAGTCCTATTATCATAATAGTATAATTAATTACTCCATACTAACTACTATTAGTAGTATCTACATTGCACCCGTGCAAAGCCGGGGCGGACCGCTAGTATTCTAATAAATTTTCCTTAACGCATTTTCTATATTTAATAAGGCTAAAATCTTAGTTCGAATTTAAAGTTGGTTTCAACAATTTGAGTCACAATTTCGTTATGTTAAGAAAAGGTACACATAAATAATTCAATTCAATTTGTTAAACATTCTAATAGTCATCACATCATGCCTCTCCCTAACGAGTGTCCTTGCTCCTAATACTAATGTTAATATTAATTATGTTTTCGCAAAAATGTTTGATACAACTACCTCATGTTGTGTACATGGGATTTCGCACACCTAATTGCAAGATGTAACACATAATTAGTTTTCCGTTAAGGCCGTAGTCTTAACTGTATTAGGGCGCTGCCTCATTACAGATTATTAGGTTCTGAAACATGGTAGAATATTCTCCTTGGTTGGAATTAACTAGAAAGAGAAGTGCAGGGAATAGTCACTAGTGGACTTAGTTTTCGATACTGGTTATTATAGATATAACAGAATTATCTCGATTTTCCAATATCACTCGAGTGAGACGAGGTATAAGTTGGTAAATAACCAGTATCGAAAAAATTATGAAATGTTGCCTTACTTACTATAAATCTTAATTAGATATTTTTCAACTCTTATTAATAGACACATATCTTAATGCAATCAAAATTCAAAATCTCCGTTAATTATTGTGTTATTTCTTTTTTTAGATGCCATAACTTAATCTTTCTCATAGTAATACCTACTTATAAAGTTACAAATGAATTTAGTTTTAGTAGCACATACGCAAGTGGCATATTTTAGTGATAATTACGTAATTCTTTTATATAACGAATTTGGAATGAACACATATTTTGTTAGATAAGCGTACATTTGTTTGAAAGACAATATGTTAGAAGTTGGTGCAAAATGAAAATGTATTGTACAAAGTTAAACGGAAAACAAACTAAAGAAAGTCATCATTCTGTTGAATTTAAAGAAAACTTTTACTTTCGTAAAGTAAATATTTGTCATACCTAGATATTTGACTATACTCAAGATTTTACCTTAATTGTCAAAACTTAGGCATACGTTTAAAGAAGGCCAAACTTAAGATTCATTTCAGTAAGACGTTTTCTAATGTACAACAAATTAAAAACCACATTTTACTGAAAATTTGATAAAATTACAAGATAATTAATAATGAACTGAATTCGAGGTGTTTTTTAAAAGCCATTGAAGAGAGAGAATACTACAAACCATCTACCTCCAGGCTTTTCATCAAATTTTCTTAGAAAATCAAAATTATAGTACTTACTGGTATCCGGAGAAGTTCGATGTGGGTACTACATTTAAGAGTAGTGTTTAAACTGACTTATAATATACATATTGTTAGTTACAAAGAGAACTCAATAAAAATGTTTGTTAAAACCTTACAACCCTCGATTTCGCTTTTTTGCCCTATATTCTTTTATTTTGTTTTTTTTTTTAAAGACAACACCCGCAATAGGAGTGTATCCTGTGTCGCGGGGACTTTACAAATATACATAAATGGACACAAAGAACACCCAGACTCAGAACAACAATGTGTGAATCACACAAAGTGTCGTCCCATGTGGGGATCGAACCCACAATACTGAGCGTAGTAGGAAGCGACGTGGCGACCGCTTAAACCACTACGCCATCCGTGCAGTCATATGATATTCACATAATAATAAAAAAATATTGGTACTTAGGTGGCCAAATTAGAAGCCTAAGTACTTAAATGAAGTATAACTAATAAATTACTACTTAATATGCTTGCCTGTATAATTCTAATAAATCTTGTATTTTGTTACAGGTCGCCCATTGCCAGTAATTCATATAAAAGTAAGTATCTTTGATGTTTATTAATAGCAGTTTCATGTTAGACGCACATCTGTTAGCTCTATGCGTTTGAACGTCTATTATTACAGAAAAATACAAATATTCGCACTGATAATATTATTAATACGTAACTGGCAACTTATGGCATTTACTATAAGATTCTTAAAACTCCATACAAATCTGTTCTTTGGTCAACCAATCCCAAATGCCTTGCATGGCTTAGATTTTTTTTAGTATGTATCATACCGATTTTCTAACTAACAACATCCGTCAGATCCTTACCAGATTGGTGGTGATGGAGAAGGTAATGGTCGATAATGGTGTGTATTTAGTTACATTTTTATCCTTGCAGTTCTATATCTTTTATCGTTCTGTTCATACCCGATCAGTTAGCTTCTTTCTTCATAAACAAATCACTGAGATAGAAACCATCAATTATCGGTATTTTGTCACATACACCCTCATTATATAATTTAATGCTCTCTAGAATATATTGAACTGTACACGAGTAGTAGGAGTTCAACCAAAAGGACTTGGCCTCACTCACGGTAAGGATCACTGTTTGCGAAGCTCGAGCTTATGTAAACGGTATTAATAGCACACTTCACAATCTTTTCTTCCATATTCATACCCCTTATATTATATTTTTTCGAACAGTGGTGACGCCTGAATATATTAGATATAATTTGGATGGAAATCATATACGGCACTTGTTACGTTTTTGTTGTAGATCAAGATTAAATTTTCCCTATCACAACTAAATTTAATGAATCATGTATATTTATATTACAGCCTTTACGTAAAAGCCTGCTCTCGGCAGTAGGTCCTGGTTACCACCGTAACCGCTTACTAACTCAATACACTTTGAAACTTTTTAAAAGTTTTTAATAAACTAACTTTGGCTTGACAGTTTTAATACTTTTTTAAAACTTGACAACTGATAAGATTTCTGGGCACCGTCGACCTGTATTCTACATAATCGGAAATAGAAGCGTTGTGTGTCTTTTACTATTTTGTAAATGTAAATGTATTGGTCCGCTGTAATGAAGTCGTGGCATAACGAGCATTAATTCAATCTGCCGAAACTAGAACTTCAGATTCACTTGAGATTAGAAACTCTGCTTCCACAAGGTACAATGTAAATACGTATGTTTATATTACATTTTGTCAAGGCAGGTTTAAATTTTTCACTTTGAGTCTTGAGTCAATATCCAGTACAGATGGTATTTGTCCAGTAAACAAACTTGCAACTCACAATGCGTCCGCATCGGTCCTCAACTTTCTTGGCAGACTATCAAAGAAAATGCCTATAATGCTTTTGAAACTTTTGAATGAATGTCTAACGTTCAATATTAATACTGAGATCCAGATATTTAAAAATACTTTCAAAAAAGAATTTAGCATAAAGCATTGTATATATATATTTTGTACATAAGTGTGTTTTCTCATATATCTTCAATATAAATGACTGCGAATACGAACGCAAAAATTAGTTGTTTCGAATTTAATAAACCATTTACAATTTATTAATGCATTAGAAACAAAGTATATATCAAAGTAAATAAAAATAATCAGTTCATGGTTTTTCTAAAAAAAAAATTAATTTCACGATTAACGATATGCACTAAATTGATTAATTTTCTTTTAGATCAGAACCATAAATTTTGATCTTTGACCTGTATAAATAAATTGCTAATATAAAAGGACGGTTCTTGTGATATTTCGCCTTACCAAAAACTGATTACAAACATAATCTTAAAAAGATAAATTCAATCTGTCTATATAAGAAATATAAAAAAGGCTTCATAATGACGTATACATCAACTGCATTATTCGACACACTTGCGTATAATTCATAGATTCTCATTAATTCTGGTGCGACTCCAAAGCCGTTCAATTAGAGACGTCTGCGTTGATTGGTCGTAGATAGAACGACTACTTATTGTGAACGATTGGTTTTACTGCCCCGTGCGTTTTATAGCTAGCCGTATTATTCTTATTTCTGGATTTATACCCCTGACTTGCTTAAGATAACAGTATAATGCTGAACATTGTCAGTTTTCAATTTGACTATATTTTATACTTGTATGTACATTCATTCTAGAACTGTAATGTCAAGTTAGATGGATATCTACAAGGGTACAACTGGGACTAAACTACTACTGACTACTAAAGTATTAGCAAAAATGTCTGATGATTTTTTTTTTATTATAGGAATAAAAAAAGCATTCTAATAATAAATATATATCTTACACATCTCATACACGGCCGTCTGATCCCAAACTAGGCAGAACCTATACTATGGTAACCAGACTGCTGATAAACATACTTATGTATTTTTTAAATAGATACATATTATAGATAAACTACACCCAGACACATAAAAATTACCGTGCTCGTCACACAATATTTGTCCTGGGTGGGAATCGAACCCACGACCTCCGGTTTAGCAGTCAGGGTCACTAACCACTAGACCAACAGGCCTGTCAAACTTAACAACAACTTTCAACACACACAACTTTTAGTTTAAAATTTTGTACTTACGTTAATATATCAAGCATGGGCTAAATTATCAAGTTTGTATTGTTTTATTTAGAATAGTCTAGACTAGACTAGTTAATATATAAATAACTAAATACTAAACTATGTGTTAAAATTAACCGTAGAAGTATCTGTATTTTATCACCAAATATTGAGGTTAACAATATTGTTATAAAGTAAGCCTATGCAAAAAGAAAATAATAATTGTAGTCGTTCAATTAATGCTAACCTTTCAATGTCTTTCAAAGCCGTAAATAAATAATTATAGTCCAAATAATCTAAGAGGTACCGTTTGACAGTTCTGACAGATTGAAGAATAAGGAAGGGGTCAAAGAAATCGATTGCTATAACATCCGATTCTTGAGAGATATCAATATCATTTCTTTGTATTTACAAATCAATTACAGTTTTACAGATTTATGTATGATACGAGAACTATATAAGCCCGTATATTATTATATCTTAGGTTTCACTAGTAAATCTATGTAAGTAATGTAGACAAAGGATGATCGATAAAAAACAAATGAACACACTTATGCAAGTAAAGGCATACAAATAACTCAAGGTCTAGTTTCAAGTAGATAATTATGAGTGTCAACAATACGAATAGTAAGTAGCAAAATAGGTCGAAAATATACCTTGCACCTAATTTTACGGTAGTCCTCACATTCATTTAACAAAAAACAGTAGCAAGCAATTCTTGTCCTTTTTCTTGTCATTTCTCTTAAAATTTTATGGCATCTATAACTGACGCTGATCACGAATCAAAAAAAAAAAATAGATACTTGGAACTTAATTGGGTCGAAAATTGCTTGCAGCTGTTTTTTAAAATACTCATTACATATTAAAAAAAAAATGGGTGCAAACAATTTTCGACTTTATGCACATCTTGAATATCTAATTTCTTTTTTAATATTCGTAATCAGTTTCATTTGTAAACCACAAAACACGTTTTAGATAAATACCTAAGAGCGTAATTTGCTTGCAACTGTTTTTTGTTATCTGTAGTATCGACATATTATAAATACAAAATAAACATAAACATATCATAAACTACGTACGGAGACAATTTCAACAGCACTGTACAATACTGCTGTTAATCGAATGTATCCTGAAGCGAACAAGGGAGAACAAATTATTATATTAATAGAAATGAAATAAATAATTATTAAATCACGCAAACTATAAATGAAATGTATTTTTATGCTCAGTACGTTTGTTTGCGAGACATTGGCGCAGACTTGAAAATTGAAAATGGCAGGTTATTAATAAGTTCGATTTTTCTTACATATTAACGATTATTCGTATACAAGTTTGAAGTGTCACAACACTACGGTAAAGGACTACGTGACTTTGAAACAGTCTTAAAAAATCTATCTATTGTATATATTGTTTTTTGCTTTGTTTTAAAGATTTACATTTACATTTAGGCAATAAAAATTGTACATCTTCTGATAAAATAAAAATAGCTGCATAATTCCATAGTTTTACGAAAAACTTTATTTTAATTGTGTGAGTTACGCTAGTACAAAGTTGTTTCGGCTTGAAAAGTATGCAACGTCAAACGGTACCTCTTAGATTAGATGGACTATAGTCTGATCTCTAATTAACATCTTGTACACGATGGTAACAGTATCTTATAAACGTAACTAAATACCTACCAAGTTGTCATTTCAAAAAAACATTTCGTTCTTTGAGTTATAAAAAAAAAACTAAGAAGGGCAATGTTTAATAAGTAAACGAGGAAGTTGTTCAAAGATTAAATTAGAGGATTGCTCAAGTCTTTGATGCCTGCCTGATGATTCCATTGAATGGTTTCATGTATTTTATCTAAAAATATTTTAAGTATAGGTCGTACCTTTGACATTGTATAATTTAATTACTACCTACCTTTTAAATAAATTGCCTTTTGAAACTAAATCATCGATGGTTCTTATGCCTTTTTAAGAACTTTTAACTATCGAAAAACCGTGTTTTTTCTTCAGTTTAATTTAGAGGTCACTACTGAAGATCTTTATTTACTGTTCGTGGAAAAATAAAATTAAACAGTTCATGAGTATAGGTATTAGCGTTCTTTCCTGAGTTACCTAAGTAGTGAGCTCACTCCAAGGTTTAGATTTGAAAATAGTATTAGATTTAAAGTGGAATTACGTAGATAAAAGAAATCTTACTTATTCTAAACATGATATTTATTTCTTTATTAACTTCAACGAAATGTATTAGTTTAAAATTATGAAATATAATACATATATATATACCTTCATATTAATGGGAAGAAACGTGAAAGAAACGGGAAGAAACTTAAAATTAATTAAGAAACGCGTTAAGAATCAAAAATGGGTAGGTGTTTTGGTTAAGGTATCAAACATTTTAATTGATTAAAAGAAAACCGGAGATCAGTCTAAAGATACCTACGGGACATACTGGGGTGTCATTAGAGCTGACTTACATTTTCTTTATGT